GTGTAGGGATGTAGTAGTTCATCAATCAAAGCCCAAAGCATGTAGTTTGTACTTATTAATTGGCCCATGAAATTTTAATTGGCCAATTTTTTTTGTACTTATTAATCTTAAACTAACATGTAGTTTGTTACTTATTAAATAATTCGATCATGTTATTCTTGTTTTTATTGTGGCCAGCTCTTTAAATAATCATATTTTTAAAGATGTTATTTAAAAATGAGATTGTTTAATTATTAAAGTAAAGATTGTGAAAATATATGATGCAAGGCAATATACTCTATTTTAAATATGGGAAAATCTGCACCGTCAGATGCATAATTGAAAAGATATTGTGACCGTCGGATCTAACCATTACGCGTTTGTGTGTTTTTTTTTTGCACTTAGAAAAGTCAATCGGTGACAACTACGAGTGTTAATTAGGCGGCTGATTGATCGAACGGTCGGCTTTATCCAACTTATCAATGAACGGTCAGATTTTTCCAAATCATGTTTTGGGACCCACCCACCAGACTGATCAAATATAGTGGATGGAACTATTTATATCGGAAACCATGGTTGGACACAATTACCCGAAAATCTGACGATACTCATTTTACGGGTATCTAATTTTAGGATATTCATAATTTTTAAATCCAAATCTAAATGTAGATTTTTTAATATTCGTATATCCGAATCTAAATCCGGATAATAGAATTTTTAAAATCGGATATCCGCGAATATCCGACATAAATAATTATATTTTATATTTATATAATATTTTTATAAAATATAATTATTTTAAGTTAAATAATTTCATATTTTTTAATATTATCTCAAAAAAACTAAATTTATTATTATTTATCTCTTATTATCTTATATTTTTATCGTAATTCATCCATTTTTATAAATATATCTTCATTTTTTAAAATTTTTTATATATAAATATAATTGTTTTTTAAATAAATATGGATCCGGATATCCGCGAATATCCGACTATTATTTCGGATACACATATCCCGGATACTCGTAAATCCCAAATCCTAAATATAAATCTTATAATTAAACATCCAAACCTTACGAAGCTAAATCCAAATATTTCGATTTTCCCGGGTATTCGATCTGTGTCCAATCCTAATGGTTAGACAATTTTATTATATACTTTTTTTTCATAATACAAAACTTCAGCTTGCGTGACTTTATCAAATTTGTGTTTTTAAGCTTTGTATAATTTTTGTTTATTTTTCCTTTAAAATTTGTTAAATGAAGTAGAAGATATTATGGAAAAGGACAGATAAGAATCCGAAAATAATCTGGAAACATAAAAGATAAAACTAAAAATACTAAAAAATCTTTCAAATATAAATATTCTATCTATGTAATTCATAACTAAAAGTATGATTATAATTTGTGTACAAAAATAAAAAATATATTTTTTCTAAAAAAACATTTTCAACTCAGTAATTGTTATTATTTAATTTAATTTTAAAAAAGATATCTAATTAATTTTAAAAAAACAACTCAAAGACAATTGTATATAATATTTATTATTCGATTTCTACGTATAAACCTTGATCGAATTTTGTTTTTCCAATATGTGATGACCAGACTCTTAAGGTCAATGATTTATGTGTATAATTTTTTTTCTCATTTTTAATTCCGCCTTCGGCATTTGACTAAAAACGTAAGAAAATGACAAAAAATGTAAAAAAAACAAAAAAGGACAAAAAGGTGGAAAGAAAAGTGGACAAGTCTTTCAGTTTCTGGGTTTTCTCTCTTGTCACTGTTCATTTCTTTCTAAAGATCCGTTACCTCGCGCTGCAAAAAAGCTCTGGAATACCGACAACTTCCTCGGAGATGGTATTTCTTGTCTGACAAACACTTCAAATTCCGAACTTGAACCCATAAGCTCTCAGAGTTTCCGGGAAAAATCAGTTTTCCCCTTTTTCTCGGGAAAATCTCCCTACCCTAGTTGGATCTGTGAAGATTCGAGGCGCTTGAGAACAAAAAGAAAGTGTCCCACAAACTCCGTCCGCTACAGAGTTTCTTCTTGTCCGAGCAACACCTCAGATTCCAAACTTGATCCAGAAGCTTTCGGATTTTCCGGGAAAATCTGCCCTTTTCTTTCTCACGAAAAATCTCTCGACCCGTCATGAATCTCTGAAGTTCCGAGGCGTTTTTTGAGAAATGGGTCGGAGAACGAAGAGAAAGAGTTCGATAAACACTGAAGCTGCAAGAGAATTTGTCAACCATCTTGTTGCCCAGAGGCATTCTCTGATCTTACTGGTCCCTTTGTTCCTGATTTTCTGGGCAATAGAGAGATGGGTATTGACTTTCTCCAATTGGGTTCCTCTTGTCGTTGCCGTTTGGGCAACTCTGCAGGTGATTAATCCATTCCTTGCTTTCTCTGTTCAAATTCCAGAAATTTCATTAATTGTATTGTGGTTTCTTCCCTGAATTCTTGTGTTTTAGTGAGAAGTTCAGTAATTAGGGTATAATTCCTTTCCTTAAAGCAGAAACATTTAGTAAAGAAGCCATAAAAAGACCAGACTAAAACAAGAAATGAATAATCAACTTTTTGTGGGGCTGAATCCCATCCCATAAAAAGGGGGGAAAATCTGGTTTATTTAATGATTTTCTTGATTATTAATATAATATTTCATATAAAGTTGGGAACTTTTCGGTTTATGTGGATGGCCATCTTTATGAACAAGCTATATATATACATTTATGTATATAAACATACAGTATGTTAAATCGATTGCTGTATAAGCAAGAATATCATTGTCTGTTCACATTTGCTTATGTGTTCTTCATCTGTTCATAAGCAAATTATACATGTAGTTGTATTTCCCTTCACACACTTATAGATTTGAGGGTTTGATGCTAAATTGCCGTACGTGATACCCTTTTCATGTGTTTCTGCAGTATGGAAATTACCAAAGAGCAATACTTTCTGAAGATCTTAACAAGAAATGGAGACGAACTGTGTTGAATGCCTCTGTGAGAAATCTCTCTCTCTCTCTCTCTCTCTCTCTCTCTCTCTCTCTCTCGTTTTTGTTCCGTTGCTTGAAATCTTCATGGTTAATGCAGGAGTCAACTCCACTGGAACAGTGCCAATGGCTGAACAAGTTACTGTCTGAAATCTGGACAAACTACATGAACCGGAAACTCTCTTTCAGATTTGCTTCAATGGTAGAGGTAATTAACGACCCTTTTCTCTTCGCTTTTGATTCTTGCAATCACCCGAAGAGTTGTCCGATTTGGTTTTATATTCGCGGCCCCGTTCTTTACCGATTTTCTGTTAACATTTTCATGTTGGTTTGGTTTAATCCCTTTGGTTCCCGAGGTTAAATTCTAAAACCCTAAACCATGAACCGAAATATTGGTGAATCATTCGGTCTTATATATGTGTCCAAGTCGTTCTTCTCCACATTTCGTGTTTTGTGTCGTGAAAACGTCAAGATTCATCTGTTTTCGTATTTCATCAAGACCCAATCTTTTCACTTTTGTGTAACTGAAGATCTCCATTTGAACAGAAACGATTGAGGCAGCGCAGGTCACGGCTTATAGTAAGTAATCTTCGTTTTTCTTCCCCACGGAAATTGAAAAAAATCCGGTAGTTATTTATGTTCGAACATGGCTGTTTTCGTAGGAAAACATCCAGCTGTTAGAATTTTCTCTCGGGACTTGTCCTCCTTCGTTAGGCCTCCATGGTACTTGTTGGTCGACTTCAAGCGAACAGGTTCGGTTCTCCAGTTCTCGTTTCATCAAAAGAAAATGTTCCGGTTTCGCTTATATGCGTTCTTTTTTCGGTTGGACGGTTAGAAAATAATGCGGATAGATTTCGATTGGGACACGACCGATCTAAGCATCTTGTTGCAAGCCAAGTTGGCTAAGCCCTTTAACCGTACCGCACGGATCGTTGTCAACAGTCTCCACATCAAGGGCGATGTAAGAATTCATTTTTCTTTTTTTCATACACTTTTATCTAATATTAGCTCAAATTTGTATCATAGTGAAATATTTCGATTCTTATTATATTTTTGTTAAATTATTGCAGATTGTGGTTAGACCGATACTTGAAGGGATGGCATTGTTGTATTCATTTGTATCGACGCCTGAAGTGAGGATCGGAGTGGCGTTTGGTAGTGGCGGGGGGCCGGC